ATGGTCACCTCCAAGCTATTTCAGTGGAAGTGTTGCTTATCGTGGTTGGATGAGGATGTGAGTGGGCAAGGTGGGCGGCAGGAGAGAGCAAGACGCATGGGGCAGCGTTGAGGAGACAGGATAGGGCAAGGGAGGTCAACCAAATACCCATCAAACTGAACCAAGGACTCAGCCAGACATGCTTCCATTCATCCATCATTCAAACATCACTTGTTCATCATACAAATACATCCACAGAAATACACATAAACCGGATAGCGTCAGCGGGGTAAGCAAAGGTTAGCAAACGCCAAAACAACGCTCAGAAACCCGAGCAAAATATTCTTGAAAACTTTGTATTCGGCATGTGGTAGGCCAGTCATTGAGTACGCTGCCCCAGCGTGGAGCCCACACCTCCTGTTGACAATGATAACAGTAGAAACGAAGACAGTGATGTCAACTGTAGAAACAAGCGCCGTTACAATAACACTGATGTAAACATGGAACATCACTAACAGTAACATTGATGTAAACAATGGGAAACATCGCTAATAACATTGATGTAAATAAGAGGAAACCTCGTTAAAAATAAGTGATGTAAACAAGGGGAAACATCGCTGTCAATAACAATGACAGCGAAACATTGCTAACAACAGTTAGCAATGTTTCGTTGTCATTGTTATTGACAGCGATGTTTCCCCTCGTTTACATCCCTGTTAGTGATGTTTCCCCGTGTTTACATCACTGTTAGTGATGTAAACACTTTTCGTTGTCTTGTTGACAAACAAGAAAACAACGCTAAGAATGACAAAATATCGTTATCATTAACAATGACAAATAATGAAACATCGCTAGCAGTAACGATGACAAACAGGAGAACTTCGCTAACAATAATGACATCAACAAAAAATAGCTGACATCAACAGTGACGTCATCAGTCTGAGAACAAAAAACAAAGAACGCTAAACATTGACGCTAATCACAAAAACAATCATTAACAATGATGTCAGCGCCGCCATCGACAAAAACACTGAAACATGAACACGAGCAGCAACACGTAAATGGCAGCAGCGCTCTCAACAAAAACAACGAGAAGCGGGATGCGCACTGTACACGAGACATAAAAAAATCTAAGAGGGGATCCTTAAGAAAATCAGTTCAGTAAAATTGAAAATGTGTGAGAGTGTACACGAAATGCTCCTCTCTGGGGATGAGGGGAGGAGGGGTAGACAAAGCAACCAGCCTTGTAAGATCAACCATACATCTCTTAGGGAATCACAACACGTGACTAATCACTACATCTGCTAACGGAGTAACGAGCAATTAGAAGGTTTTTCTCTCGTGTACTGCATTGTGAAATGCAGAGAGAAATTATATTGGAGGCAGTGAAAGATAAGGTAATCATTCCCTCAGTCTTAACATATACGTGTATAATCTTTGTGGCTCATCCGTGCAGCGTTGGGTCTGCAACATGCCAGGACCACGGTTCGAGTCTCCGTCCATTTCATATATATAATATATAATCTTCTTTCAACACACCGGCCGTATTCCACCGAGGCGGGGTGGCCCAAAAGGAAAAACGAAAGTTTCTCATTTTACATTTAGTAATATATACAGGAGAAGAGGTTACTAGCCCCTTGTTCCCGGCATTTTAGTCGCCTCTTACAACACGCATGACTTACGGAGGAAGAATTCTGTTCCACTTCCCCATGGAGGTAAGAGGAAATAAACAGAACAAGAACTAGAAAGAAAATAGAAGAAAACCCAGATAGGTGTGTATATATATGTTTGTACATGTATGTGTAGTGTGACCTAAGTGTAAGTAGAAGTAGCAAGACGTACCTGAAATCTTGCATGTTTATGAGACAGAAAAAGGGACACCAGCAATCCTACCATCATGTAAAACAATTACAGGCTTTCGTTTTACACTCACTTGGCAGGACGGTAGTACCTCCCTGGGGCTGCTGTCTACCAACACTACTACCTAGGATATATATATATATATATATATATATATATATATATATATATATATATATTATATATTGTGTGTACGTACATACGTGCGTGCGTGTGTGTGTGTGTGCGTGTGTGTGTGCGTGTGTGTGTGTGTGTGTGTGTGTGTGTGTGTGTTGTGTGTGTGTGTGTGTGTGTGTGCAAAAAAAAAAAAACGCTAATACGCTATACAAGTCGATGTAATCAACCCCAGGCTGAGGAACTGATTACCCCAAACTCCTCCTGATCTTCACCATTCTTTATAGTGAACTGATGAAGCCACTGTGGCGAAGCGTTTCAACAATAATAGCGAAATGTTGCACATGTGTCTAATTTATCACCTTGACGGTTCTCTGAACCATTTACCTACAGTAAGACACCTGCACCACCGATGTCTTTATTACGCAACGTTTCGCCAAGCAGTGCTTTATTAATATCTCTACATAATCAAGATACCCAGGTATTTCACATATCTCTTATTTGTCATAGTTTCTTTACACAGTGTTTTACAAGTTAAGAGCTGTTATTACCAACATCAGCTCATTGTACATATACACAAGCTGTTACTCTCAGTTACTTGTAGTAATCTGTCCTACAAATTTACGACTCTGTAAAAGTCAAAATGTAGCATCTGGCTTCTCTGTGACTCATATAACTTGGCTGTGGGTTGTGTTTGAGCGAGTAATGTTGCAATAACTAAGATTTTTATTGTCCTTGGTTATTTTACCTCCCACTCCCCCTTCCCCCGTCGAGGTCTTGGTGAAGGGCTCTTGATCTAAGGAATTGAATTTGTGCTCCCATGGCTTGAATCAAATCTGAATGCCTTCCATTCTTTTAGGCGCTGTATGACCCCAGCGGGTTTAGCGCTCCCCATGAATTTAATAATAATCGATTATTTTACATGTTTTAGTCACCTCTTTTTAGTCATATGTTTAAGAGGCACGTAAGTTCCTCCGTCTTCTAATAACATGCTCATTTTTTCCAGTGTAATGAACCTTGTCCGTAATTACTGTGGCATTGGTTTTGTCTGCAGAGGTGTGAGCTTAATGCTCACACCTCTGCAGCAGAATTGTCCTCAAAGATTTGTTAAGTTATACCATGAATTAAGGAAAGATCCTGGACTTCACCTTACGAAACAGACAAAGCAAATGTGATAGTAATTATGGACAGGGTAGATTATAGTGGAAAAATGAACATGTTTTTAGAAGAAAGGGGGAACTTGCGTTCCCCTCAGGGCACCTCAGTCACCTCTCAGTCGTTGTTTTACTCAAGTGATTTCGTTAGATTTTCCTCTGGTTTCGTTTTTGTCTCCTGGTGCTATGCACCCCACAAGGGAAGGTAGACGAGGTCCACTTGCGGCCCGCTGGACTATAGTGCGGTCCTCCTGAGTTTTTTTTTTCCCCCCAATTAGCTAACACAAACTTCTAATCCAGTAAGTCTTAACCAAGTCCTCGCCATTTATTATCGTTTAAAAATCCTTATTTTTTAAATAACATGTTGGATTTCATACTTATGAATGGAAAAAACTTCATGCATCTCTCTCTCTCTCTCTCTCTCTCTCTCTTTCGCTCTCTTTCGATCATGTGGTCACTACTGAAATAATTTGGCAACCTTCAATATGCTGGCCAAATTTGCATGCAGCATTGTAAATCATTGCAGCAGTAGACAAGCCAGCACTACCACTACCACTTCAGTCCTGTGGTAAGCAAGTGGAATGAGCTCCAAATACACAAGTTCAAAGAATAGGCACGGTAAGTCCCAAGGAGTCAGAAGTCAGTATAATGTAACTCGACGTAGTTTAAGAGGTGATGTCAGGCGCTGAGAATCGACCCCCGGAATAAAATCGGCGAGTACACAGAAAATAGAACAAACACTTGAGCTCGGACATCTACAGCCAGTCTTCCGGGAGTCTTGCGAGCTGTGTCTATGAACACATTAATAGCTGTGTCTGTAAGCTCATTATATATGCTAATCAATAAGATAGGTTGAACAATGTAGCAAATAGAGTACCGAAATTTGGCCTCTTAGGGTCTTGTACTCTGTACTCATATGTGGTACTCTTGTTATAGAGTTGTCCTCTTCCCCTTTAACCTTTGTTACGCATTTGTGTGTTGTGTTTGTGCAATAATTTTCGCACTTCTAGCTTGCTCTATCCACCTGTTTTTGCTTCTTGTGCACATACACTGCCAATCACGTGTGTACATGCCTCGTGTACAATTGCACTGCTTGTTTTGTGCCTACACGAGCCTCTTGTACACTTGTACACATGTGCGTCAGCCTCATGCACATACGTATAGTGTCAGTCATGTATCATGTATACTTTAACTGGCAATTCATGTGTATGTACATTTAATATATCAACTCTTTCCTGTACAAACTGTACTTTGTTGTCAAGTTTTAACACTGTGACATGTTTTTTGCTTTTATATATTGTGTGTGTGTGTGTGTGTGTGTGTGTGTGTGTGTGTGTGTGTGTGTGTGTTGTAGACGCCATATTTTGCAATATATTTTAGCTGTATTTTTAATACACCATGATGTATGTACACAATCTGTAGTTAACACGATTCTGTAGTATTAAGGTTACATCAGCTCGTTATAGAGTACAGTGTCATGTGCGTTAGCTACTCTATTTTGTAATATTTTTCTCAGTAGAGACATTATCTTGCAAACAAATTGTTTATTTTCGCTATTTAGTTGCCCAAATTTTGACTTTAGTTGACTCTTGTCTTCGTGTTCACAATGTTGTCCGCGTGTCACGGCGATGTAACATTTTTTTTTAGTTGCACTAGCCTAGTTTAGTTCAGCATACTAGTGTGTGCATATACTGCTTCCCATTCACAGTACTGCTACACTCCGCCCACCACACCCACTTGCCGGTACTGCTACACTCCGCCCACCACCACCCACTTGCCGGTACTGCTACACTCCGCCCACCACCACCCACTTGCCGGTACTGCTACTACCCACCCCGCCACCCATTCGCCCTGCTTGCAGTTTTGACAAAAGCTATTCATTCCTCCCAACAGCCTTGCAGGAACTTGGTCTGGACGAGTCGACTCTTCTGAGCGAGATCGAACAGATTCTTGGCTTCGGTTCGCTTACCAAGAACCGAACGGAGAAACCGGCCAACACTACAACAGCCGCCGCCTCCTCTTCTCGGCCGGAGTCATTCGAAAAACCGGTTAAGTCGACAAAACCGAACCGGAGGAAGTCGGAGGGGGAGAAACCAGTTGTTCCGGAGCGCGATTCGAGCAAAGGTGAAGCCGCTGTAAATATCATGTTTACACAAAATAGTCCGCTCGTAGGAGAATGAAACCTATATCGGAGTTTCGATCCGACTTGGACCATTAACTAGTTAATGGACCGAAACGTTGTCGTAAGTTTCATTCACCTAAGTGCGGGTTATCTGTATATTGTTCTAGACACACGGTATTGTGCCTCTCTGTTCTTAATATCATGTTCCTCTTGGTGATATGAAGGGAAGTGTGGTACTTGTGTTAATGTTACACTTTCCTGTGAACTTCAGGTTGAGTGGGGTACGTCACTCAGGCTGTCTTCTGAATACTGAATATTCCTCTTGGAAACACAGGAGGTTGGTTGATCTGTATATTTCGACCCCCTTCTGAGATCCCAGAGAGATCCCAGAAGGGGGGAAGGTCGAAATACACAGATCAATCAACCTCCTGTGTCTCTGTCTCCATGTGGGTTATTATTGAGCACTGACAAGTGTTCATTACATTTTAACTATTCATTCCTCTTGGAGGTAATGATAAACCTTCTTGTTGGTGTGTGCGCCTCTCTTGTTTATATTTTTGCTGCCCCGTAACCAATTAACCGGTAAGAATGACGCTATGTTTGCGAGAGAAGCTTTCTTACGATTCATGACTCAGGAAATTGTAAAAACACGATTGTAAACAAACCACGGTACGGGTGGGGGTTTGAACCCATGGCGTGTGAGTCGCCATGAGTTCAGACCCTACCCGTACCGTGGTTTCTTTCTTACGATGTTGCCTACGGGAGTGAACTTGACGTCAAGTTCAGCCCTGAACGGAACGTGAGTATTATGGTTTTCCTGTGAACGTAGTGTCTTATTACCTGTCAACTTCCGCCATATTTTAATCTGCTAACCGGTTCTTGATTCAAACTTGAATCACTTCTTTAAGATTCAGTTCAGTTAAGTTTAAGATGAGAGGATTGTAGGTCAGTGAGTTTTAGCATGGTGCCAGATGGCTCCAGCCTGGTGCCGGATGGCTCCAGCCTGGTGCCGGATGGCTCCAGCCTGGTGCCGGATGGCTCCAGCCTGGTGCCGGATGGCTCCAGCCTGGTGCGGATGGCTCCAGCTGGTGCTGGATGGCTCCAGCCTGGTACCGGATGGCTCCAGCCTGGTGCCGGATAACTCTCCGGCTTCACGACCAACTCGTCCTCTGAGGAACTTATCACCATCACTCGTCACCATCTTTAATCTTCTCTCCTCGTTTCCTCTCTTACATGTTTCTCTTCCTCCAGAATCCTATCCCTCTCCATATTTATCTTGTTTTTCCTTAATACTACAGTTAGCCTCGTACATCTTGTCTACCTCTTGACTACACTTTTATCTCACTCTCCTTCGTCTTGTCTCCTTCCCTTCTTCGTCTCCTTATGTGTTGTTTTTCTACCCTCGCTTTCCTAACCAATTCTTCCAATATCACCATAAGATTTCTTTAATGTCATTTTCTTCTGTAAAAAAAGTCGGCATTATTCGTAATGATTTCAATATTTTTATCATTTCTGTTAAGCAGATATCTGTAGCTAAAAGTACAAATGTAACACTCTTGTGTGTATGATGATCTAACATATACTCAGCCATGTCTCTTAACCTATGTCTCAAAATACCTAGAAAAGCTAATAAAATTACAAGACATACTGGTGGCCAAACTTAATACATGTTGAATGTTCATACATGCTCTGGTAAGTACACATTATCATTACTTACATTAATTATAAGCTCCTTGATAAGTGGCCTTGCACCTGTGCATGAAAACTCGCTCTGAAATGTGCACTCAGATGTGTACTCAGATGTGTACTCGACGAATAGCAGTACAAATCTAACACGAGAATGCTGTGTGACGAATCTGCTCCTTAACTTATGTTTGCTGACCTGCTGCCTGTGTGTCTGTGTGCTAGGGGTTAAGAGGTGGTTTGCCATATTTTTAAAGCTTAGCATTATATATTTGCCGTGTGGGCAGCTGGTTGAAGGTGGTGTTTGGCGCAGGTGGCTGCAGTAAAGCCTCGTCTTGGGTGAAGGTAAGTTCCAGTGTGATTGCTAACTTGTAAAACACCTAATCCATTTATTGTGTATGTGATGCTCTACAGATGACGGTGGGGAATTGTTTATTTTGATGTGAAGCACCAAATCCGTGTGGGTCGTTCAGTGAACGCACTACCACTGCAGGCACTGATGTGATGGCATTATTTTTATGGGCGCAGCCGTTCTTAAGAGGAACCCCGAGGAAGATTCACCGTTTGATGTTATTGTCTGCCTTGTTAAGTCCAGTTATTATTCTCTCTCCTTTTCCAGAGTATTCGGTCTCTTTTTTCGTAATCTTGTCAACGTATTTCCCCCACAGCTGCACCAACAGGTGCAAATTTTGTCTCGCAGCTGGACCCCTCCCTCCTGTCCCTCCCCTACCGTCCCTCCCCTCCCCCCTCTCCCCTCACTCTAGAGAGTTATGGCTTTCTCCTAATAGCTGGTCGTTCACTGTGCGAAGTTTCTCAAGACGCGGTAATTTTCTCATAACTCGGGAATTTTCTCAAGACTTGAGAATACTCTCAGGAGGAATTCTCTCAATAAGTGGAATTTTCTCAAGACTCGGGAAGTTTCTGAAGACGCGGGAACTTCTCCGCCATCCTCCTAACATAATCCGATTGTTGCTGTTTTATTTTCTCTATACGCATAAAAGTCTAGGGGCAAAGTCGCCAGCATTTTGTAATCCATAAATGGGAACATGAAAGTGTGTCAGCATTCGCTGAGCTCCTACCCAGAGAAGCGATGCCCTTTGCTCTGTTATTCCGTGCAAAAACACAAATTCGTGTTAAATTTTAACAAGAACATCACCTGGGATGAAATAAATCATTTGCTTAATGAAAGATTCTGGGAAGATATATTGAATAACACGGATCAGAACCAGTGTCCAGAGAGGATGATTTCTTTGGCACTAAAAGTATTCTGAAGGCACATACCATAAAAGAAAAAGATGAGATGTGACCTAGAAAGAGAGAGATGCTCCCTCTGCAGGTGAAGACGAAGACTCGCAGACCTTCTCAAGAGTGCTAGACTGTCTTGAGTTACGGAAAGAAACACTGGCTAGAGAAATATAAGATACTGAATAAAAATTGAATGAATCTTAGAGGCCAGAAAAGACAGAGGGAGCTAAAAAAATGAAATAAAAAGAAATCCAAAATATTTCTTCCAATATGATGATAAATGAGACACTTGTGCAACTTGGGTATCTTTATTCTGGAAACGTTTCGCCAGCCAATGGCTTCTTCAGTCCGATGAAGAGAAAGGCGGAATATGAAGAGCTCGAGATAATCAGTCCCTTAGTCTGGTGTCTTAAAGGACTGAACACATCGACTCCAGGCTGAGGGACTGATTACCTCAAACTCTTCATATGAGATTCCACCTTCCTCTTCATTGGACTGAAGAAGCCACTGGCTGGCAAAACGTTTCTAGAATAAAGATACCCAATTTGCACAAGTGTCTTATTTATCATCTCGTTGGTTTTCTAAACCATTTTTATTCAAATTCTTCTCATATACAAAATCCACGACAAACATCACATCCGGTATCGGGTCGTTTATCAAACACGGAACTTGCACTGACGATAACAAAGAAATAAGCGAAGTACTGAAGTCTGAGTATGACTCTTGTGGTCAGTGAGTCAGTTATCTAAACTAAAGATCGACATTCTGAATAAATTCTTTACGAACGGAACTCAAAAGTTTTTCAATATCTAAAATTTCCGATTTAACCATTCCCCCCCCCCCCCCCCACTTGATTTTGAAAAAAAAAGTCAAGTAGGAGGTCCCGGTCCCAGCGTGGTCTGGGACCGGGCCGCAGGGGCGTTGACCCCTTGGAACACTCTCCCGGTAGTCTCCAGGTAGCTTACGCATGGCATATAATCAGCAGTAACAGCCTGGTTGATCAAGCTCTGATCCACTGGAAGGCCTGGTCATTGATCGGGCCGCTGGGGCGTTAACCCCTGGAATACCCTCCAGGTAGGTAGCAAGTTATCGTCATCATTTATTAATTTTTCCAGTGTCATAGGATGAGGGTGAGAAGTAGGGGGAGGGGGGAGGGATCTCTCATAAAAAAAACTTTGGAAAAGTGTTATAAGAAAATAGTTGTGGTTGGTAGAAGTGGTACTCATATTGTGTACTCAACAGCACGAGGGGAAAGGTTAGTACTCAAGAGCAGCAGCACCTTCTCTCTTCATTTCCCTTTTCTTCTCCCCATCTCACCTTTCTTGTCTTCCAAACCATACCACGGGTGGAGTTTGATCCCGCGGTCAGAGAGTCTCAAAACTCCAGACCGTCCCGTTAGCCACTGGAGTTTTGAGACTCTCTGACCGCGGGATCAACCCCCCCCCCCGTGGTATGGTTTGTTTGCAATCGTGTCATTACGATTTCGTGAGTCTTCTTGTCTTCCCTCCATCTCATCTTTCCACTCACCTTTCTCTCATTTTTCTTATCCCGATTTCGCTTCCTTATTTTCGTTCCATTTTTCTTCCTTTCGTGTTTATTCTCTACTAAAAGCATAACAGTGGCAATGCTAACATAAGATACAACAATAATGTAAGAAGTCGCCAGTATAAAGTGATGGGATCCTGGTGTCGCCTCTGATCCCATCAACATGGCACCTCGAAGGCTCTTGGATTCCATTTTTATCTCTGTAACGACGAAACAAGGATGCTGAGGGTCTCATTATATGCGAGAGAGAAACAGTGTATTTGTGCGCGTGTGGAGCTGCCCTGAAACACGGAGTCATAATGCTGGTGTAGGAGATGGATCTAGCGTCCCAGGGTCGGACTGCGGGAATAGGAAAACTATCGACAACTATCATAGGAATATCAAAGGTGTGTCGAATGGCTGTGGAAAAGGTGGTAGCGTTGAATGTAGTGCTATTGGCGTTCGCTGTTTTTATGTGA